TGGGTTTGGTTAGGCGGATGACAGGAATCGCGGACGCCCACGAGGCGATCAGGAACCGCGGAACATCCGGTCGCGCTCGAATCTCACTGGCCCGACTCACTTCACTCACCGATCGCCGAGTGGCGCCGGCTCGACACTGGCTTGATTCTATTGTGAGCAAAGCCTTCTACGCCCGTCTCTGGCGTCAGACATCCGCGCCTGCGTTCTTCTTTTGCGTCATTGCCAGGAACGTACCTAGAGGATCGCTTTCGATGACGGATCATTGGTTCCTGGACACTGCGGGAATTTTCGCCAATTGCATGGGGTAGGAACGGTGGTTTTCTGTTATTCGGGGGTATCGATGTAATTTTTGGTTTTGAGAACTGCAGATTTTATTAGACGGACTTTGATGTCGTTTGTGGACTTTGATTTAATGCGATTAGTGCGTTGAGTAGAGATAAGTGAGATTTGGAGCTGATCGAGGTAATGGGAGATTTTCTTAAGAAGAAATTTTTCTGGGTAATAGAATATTGTTAGGAGATGGGAATTATTTAATGAAGATAATTATTTAATGACGAATGATTTTGTGACGCCGATGCAGTCATTTTTATACTGTGAGTGTTCAGTAATTGCCTTTTATTAGGGATTAATTTCTTTGAGAAATAAACTATAATCTTATAGATAGTAATTGATAAAAGTATTGTTGGATTCTTGTTTCGATGAATTCTTCTATAGGCATATACACTCGCAGACTGTCATTGAACGCTTGTTGGTGCACTGAGATCGTTGATACAATGCCGTGTCGAGTCGCGTTAGCTGTTTACGTGATGAATTACCGATTGATTCGATTTGTACCTGGACACTAACACAAAGAAGTTACGTAGTAGAACACTTTAAGCCCTCGTTAATAGCGCATCAGTGTACTACGAACGTTATTAGCTTGTATTTTTATTTCTACTGAAACTTCTGCCTGATAAATTATCAGCTGATTCATCTAGTTTTAAGATAAACTTACATCGAAGTTAAAATGAATTATTTTACGTCTTGTAATAATTCTTACACAATTGAATAAAGTTCATAAATGAATTTAGTCAATTGGAGCATTAATGTATTGCTCAGAACGGCACTTTCTTAACTTTACTTAAAACTATCATACTAATTAAAACACAGCAATCTATACTGTAAAGTGAAACTTTCAGAACAAATTTGTAGATTAATAAATTCGTTGGTATATCGATTGAAAAATGATAGAATAACGTTCTTATGCGAATCGTTCGATAATGAATTCCTCGATCCAGTGTTAGATGTCGCTCAGTGTTCGTTGGACAGATCGACGCTGCTTCTGTATCGAGCAAGCAAACGCCTGCGGTTGCAACCGTTCGAACACGTCCAGACAATTCCCTCGATATTTTAAAACTCGATCGAGTGTTCGCTGCGGTTACACGTCCAGTTGCTTCATCATCCAATGGAAGAAGCCGAGGATAGAGAAACTGAAGCTCAAAGGAATGAACGTTGCTTTTATCCATGACCATATACTGTAATTTGTAGAGAATCATAACTTATTATCATATTTTCCAACACTATAATATATGCAATATGATTACTAGAACATTCTGTGCATTACTTACTCTTTCTACTCACTGCAAATTACTCTCAACAACAGCAAGAACTAGCACTCGTACCAAAATTAATCCGCATTAATTCCGAACTAGTATAATTACATACTTACATCCCTAATTGTGAAAGCTTCACCTACGGTTTCAACACATCAATGAAATTTTCTATATTACAAACTTTCTACATGTAATCTATTAACGATCTCCTTAATAAAAATAATTCAAATCGCACAACTTCACTCTAACTTTTTCCAAAGTTCTAATGCTACTCTACAAAGTCGATTACCAAACATTTCATTTACTTGTAGCTGTTATTGTCAGCCACGGTAAATCGCGAAGGCGTTGGAAGGGTGCCACAGTCGAAAATAACAATAGGTTTCACTGGATAATCGTCAGCGTCAGTCTTCGACTGTTCAATTTTGAAGACTACGTCCTCGCCATTGACGACCTGTCAACGTAATAGTATCATCAGTCTATTAATTAAACGATATTTCACATTGATACCAATTGTCCACCTTTCCGAAGACAGTATGATGTCCATCCAACCAGGGTGTTGGGATAGTAGTGATGAAAAATTGACAGCCATTAGTATTCTTCCCACTATTCGCCATGCTGACGAACATGGGTCCATTGTGACCCACAGAGAAATTTTCATCGTCGAAGTATTTGCCATAGATGCTGATGGATCCAGTGCCATCGCCATTTTCGATGTCACCACCTGCAGAATCGACTCATCAGAACGAGTTCCGTGTCGTTATTCGGATTAATCACTTTACCTTGGATCATAAATTTCTTGATAACCCGATGGAACCGTGTGCCTTTGTACGTTTTACCTGCGACGCCGGTCGTCGCGAGAGCAACGAAATTCCTTACGGTTTTCGGAGCAATGTCTCCGAAGAGGCCGACCACGATTCTTCCTGCTGGATGATCGTCAATCATGATGTCTAGGTACACTTGTTCAGTGACTGTGAGTTGATCATCCTGAAATAAATATTTCGGTTAATTCAATTTAGTCTATTACAGGAAACCCTTATTAATACATCGACGAGATCAATAATGCAGAAATAAATGATTAATGAATTGAGTTTGATTCTGGTTCGGTTCAAATTAGACCTAAGCTAAATACGTGATTTATTTCAGACTTCTCAAATATTGTGTAAATGAATTACTCTCGAAGAATTCTCTATTTTTGAACGTTTTCTAAGTTTACTTTGCTCTTAATCTCCACGTTCGAAGATCTGATGCAATTTCCACACGTGGTCGATGGAGAACAACTTACGCACATGCGATAGCTAACGACGAAAGAAACCTTACATCGTTGCCTCTGTAAATATAAGACGTATCTGATGTATACTAGGCTTCAATTCTTCCGCGTAATCTAAATCTCCCGTTGAAATTCATTGGCCAGTTTTCATCAGCCGCCTCGAACTGAATTTACACCTCGTGAATAATCTTTAGCGAACAAACTCGACACTTCATCGGTGATCGTTAATCGGAATCTATGAAAATTTTTCTTTTAATACAACACCGCACTTCCACCGAACTGGACAACTCTTTTTCAAGACTTTCTCGTCCCCGTTCGATCTGAACTGAATTCCTTTAATAATTACCACAGAGAGACAGAGAGAGAGAGAGAGAGAGAGAGAATATTCACGTTTAATCCGAAGCCGATTTCCTTAATGCCGTCGACCTAACGGCACGCAGAAAAACAGAAATATCACCGGCATTAAACGCGGAACGGTACCTCTAAAGTTGCGACGACCGCGACCAGGCAGGCAATCGTCAGCAGGGTCTTCATGACTTTACGATCACGCTCCCAGTGCCCCGGATTCCCTGATGCTTCCAACGCCATTAGTCAACTTCGAACCACGGGCATCAGCCGCGATCTGAAGCGCCGCGGGGCGACGCTTGCGCGGAATGCATCGGAGCACTTCGATTGTGTTAACTTAATCTCGGTAAAAATCACGTCTCTATAGAAATCAATGATCCTACACAACATCGAAGGTTTACTACATATTTATCATATACAACCTGAAATCGTCTTAAATATCAAGCTAACTTCATCGAGAGTTCTTAAAGTCCTAAGAATCTAAATGCTTCCAAATAAAATCTTCCAAACAGGTATAGAACATCAAATTCCCTCTCTAATAAATGACTAACCCTTTGCGGTCGATTCTGAAATACAAGACATTCAACAGATTTAAGTTCCATATCAATCGCTTAGTTAAAAGACAAAGAGGAATCCACGTGCTGATCTCCCGCTTCGAATAATCAAATCATTCGTTTGCGACTTAGTCTTCCTTGAACATTCTATCTCTCCAAAATATCTATATTCATCCGCAAATGATTAAAACAATATCATCGAGCCTCCAAAGGGGTTAACGCGATAAACCATCGAGAAAACAGTCGCATGTCCAACGACCTCATCCCCTAAATCAGCCCGAAAGGCGTCGCCGACGGAAATTCCGAGCAGACTGGCGAATTACCAAAAAATCAACAAGTCCCGGGATTCTGGCAGCTGACTCGCAGCGTGGATCCACGGGGTCAAAGATCCTCGAAGTGCTACGGCGACCGGGCGATCCACGATCGAGGAGGCTCGAAAGCCGGGCTCGTTAAGTCCCGTTACTCCCGATCGTCGACCGGGTCGAATATCATAAAAGGTGGGCACGTCGACGAACCGTGGATAGTCGATCGAGGATGGCGAAGGACAGCACATCGCGCGGTGCACGTGGCCGTCTGACGGCGTTCGCGTTCCTCCTCGTCGCCGTCGCGTTGGCCGCGGATGCGTCGTCGGTCTATCGACGGCAACGCCGGGACTTCGTCATCCCGGACTGGATCGAGATCGTCGACGAGCCGGCCGCGGAGAATTCGAAGACGATCCAGAGGGCGGTCAGGGTCAGGGACGCGAAGATGACCTACGACGGCGCGCAGGTGTGGAGGGTGAAGGCCAGCGAAGGACAGACCGTGACCAGCGTCGCTCTCGAGTTCCAGGAGGCTGGTTGTTAGTAACTTTGTGGGTTCGTCATGTCTGATCGTTGGTCGATGGAGTCACTTGGTCTCAGGGGGTCGTAGAATAAGGGAGTTCACGATTTAACGCTGAAACTACCGATGGTTGAACTGACTTTTTGAAATTCCTCTGTTGATACCGAAGGTGCATCTATTGAGACTTTAATTGATTTGAAAATCAGTTTGCGCGTTGCTACATGAATTTGATGATTTCTTAGAGGATATGTTGTTTTCTTAATAATTGCAAAATGTTGATAGTAAAACTATTATTCTTTTAGGATTATTGAAAAGAGGACGCTTCCATGAGAAAGTATTGGAGAAATTGATTTAGTAACGCGCGAAGTGGAGTAGAAGTTAATAGAAATCTGAATAGATGTACTCTTAGAGTTTCTATAGAGAAATTTGAAGTCTGAACTGCTCGGTAGTGTTGAGTGTTTTAGAATCTCAAGGGATTCATCGAATGAATTGTTAGCTACTTCTGTTTGAAGAGAGTGAAGTAGAGATAGAAATATGTAAATGAATAATGGGTGAAAGTATTGGTGATAATTAATTTATGAGTCAAGCTTTTATAGATTTGTTATATGCGTTTACTATTATGTTTTATGTCATTGTTTCTTCTTAATATCTTCATTTTTATTTAGAAGAATAAGGGAGCCATGCATTTGATCAATGAAAGGATTGCGAGTTAAAAGGATATGAGGAATACTGTTTCAGCATCGATTTTTCTGTCTGTGGTCTACAGTATTTTCTCTATGGTTGGGTAACGAGACAACATTCGACGTAATGGTGCGCTCGCAGGAGATCCCGAGAATCGCCCGTTACCTGCAACAAAAAGACTTACAATATAACGTGGTGATCGAGGATCTACAGAAGAAAATCGACGAGGAGAATCCCCTGCCGTCCGAAGAAGAAATGCAGGAGATGGAGGGTCGTTTTGGTTCGTAGAAATCTTTGCCATTCTATTCCCATGCAAATTGGAATTTGCTTACTATTCTGCCTTCTATCTACCTACGATTTCCACCTATCTACGAGAGCTGCGATCTCTTACTTTGGATCTCTGAATGATACTCGTTCAAATGGACCGAAACGAGTGGCTGCAGTAATAATAATACTCGCTTTATCGCCATGAAATCGTAATCTACGAGTTCTCCCGTAAAACGCATATTTAAAACACTTCATTCTTTGGATGGTAAATCGTCAGTTAGATTTCCATATAAATCGAATAATTATACAGACAAATGTTCTGCAAGATAACCGTGCAGAGGCCAGAAAATCAGATTCAACGATTACTGAAGTTCACGCTTCCGTGAAATAAAACCCGTCCAACGATCGTCGGTTGAAAGAAAAAAATGTTTCACTTGTCATTTTACTCGTTCCACTGACACGAATGGCTCCGACGAGGCAGTGGGTAGTCCGGTCACGTAGCGAAGAAAGCCGAGGGAAACAAATGGCCGTGTCGAGCCACCGATTCGAAAGTGATTTTGATAAGCGCCGCTTAACAGCCCCGTTAGACGTCCCGGGCAAATTAATCGCGTGAAACTTCCACGGCCGTCTAATGACATTCTAATGCGTGGACAAACTGTCAACGCAGTTTGCTCGGCAACGTAATGTTACCTTCTGGCACTTTTATTTTTCTTTGAAACGAACAATCTCAAAAGAATCTTTCACATTTTGTCATTATCAAGAACGATCCATGATTCTAATTATCATCGCTATACATTTTGATTTTTCGTCGTATCGAATATATTTCTGTTTCGAAGAATAGAAGATTTACACAATATTCCATCAACGATATAAGTATTGTCAACGCAGTTTGTTCGACAACGTAATGTTACCTTCTGGCACTTTTATTTTTCTTTCAAACGAATAGTCTCAAAAGAATATTTCACATTTTGTCATTAACGATCCACGAATCTAATTATCATCGCTATACATTTTGATTTTTCGTCGTATCGAATATATTTCTATTTCGCAGAATAGACGATTTACATAACATTCCATCAACGATATAAGTATTCAAATAATTTATAACTTGCACGAATTTACCAGCAGGATTCATTAGCTCAATGAAGCTCTTGAATGATTACCTACCGTCGCACTGTTTTTCAGTAGAATCGAACGGGGTTAGCAACCTCGCCGCGATTTAACCTGCTTACACAGTTCCGGTCCGATAATGCTGATTAACATTAACAGTTACGCGGTGCCCGTGGTCTCTCGCATCTGCAACGCACGTGCAGATCCATCTGTTACTCTCGGCGGACGAGTTTACGCGATTCACGCGCGATGTACGATACGAATATCCCGTTAGCCATTCCCGGGCAGATCTTTGGGTACGCTCGCCTCGATTGGCAGCGGGCCCAGTTGGAAAACGACTGGAGAAACCGACATCTTCGGACCGGCAATTCGAACGGAATCGTAAATGAGGGGAGCTGCGCAGAATGTAATTCAGTGATTGATGGATGATCGAGGGGAAATGGGTTGTCAGGCTTCTATCTCGTCCGAGTTAATGATAGAAGCCGCGACGTTGGACTTTGAGTACTCAAAAACAGATAATACCTACTTTTCCACCGGACATAAATCAACTTCGGATTACCGTAATAAAACTACGATTAACTGGATCGATTATCTGATCTGACAAATATACTTTTAACACTAGAACTACCATATGAATCAAAATGACTCATTCCTTGAAAACCGATTAAAGAAAGTTAAGTACTAGCTAATCTAAAATGTAAACCAATTGAAAATCTGAATAACTAGCTTAAATAAAGAGATCTTCGAAAGTCAGTTCGAGTGGCCGGTAGTTCTAGTGTTAATTTCTTAATGAATCTTAATCTGACTCATTCAAGTTCTTGCATTTAGGTATGCGTACAATGAAATTTTACAAATAAGCTTCCATTCGTGCTTCTCAATTTGTCTACCTGTCTCCGAATCGAACTGGATAATCGAGTTTCTACTGTGCTGCTCGATTTAATTCACGTTTCTTTTATGGTCAAAGTCTTCCTAATTCAGAGACCGGCTATCGATCTATCTATAGACTAACAGGCAACGTCACCTACCACCGATCACTGAGCTTCCGAGTAATTTTCTAGCTCGTTACGCTTGGTGGCAGGGAGTCAGGGTGCGAGGTAGATACCCACGTCCTCGTCCTCTTCGTTATCCTGTATCTGTGAACGGTGGAGGTGCTCCCTGGCGCTTTAGGGGTGAGATTCCCGCGCGCATAATCCGCTTCGTCGATTCAGAATCACTTTGCTGCGCGAATTCTCCCTGCGAAATTCTCTCTCGCTCGCTGGCTCGCGATGTTTACGCAAAATTGCTTGGAACTTTCATTCGTGAATACGGAAATCTGCCCTTTACGTTTCTATTATTTAAACTGTCTTGGAATAATCGGGATATTTCACTTTACTCAACTGCTTCGCCTATTTTATTCAGAAACTTTATGCGATCTTTCCCATAGTTTCTTTGCTACGCTCTTCGACAGTCTCTCGCGTTTTTGGAATAATAGAAATGATATTGGGAGAAGAAGGAAATTACAGCTTGGATAACAGAATAATTTAAAGAATAATTATTTAAACTATCTTGGAATAATCGGGATATTTCACTTTATTCAACTGCTTCGCCTATTTTATTCAGAAACTTTATGCGATCTTTCCCATAGTTTCTTTGCTACGCTCTTTAACAATCTCTCGCGTTTTTGGAATAATAGAAATGTTATATTGGGAGAAGAGGAAAATTTCAGTTTGGATAACAGAATAATTTAAAGAGTAATGTGTGATCTACATTCTATCGATTGTTCTCCTCTGAATCTACGGAGCGGAATGTTTCTACGTATTACTTAAGGATGCCGGACGTGCAACCTCTGAATAATCTTGAAGGTATACCTGTCAGGTCATCGAATGGAATGGAGCAGCTACCATCGACTCGAAGATATATACACCTATCTCGATTATCTGGCTGAAACCTTCCCAGCTGTGTGTTCTGTCGTCAGCATTGGAAACTCCGTCGAAGGGAGACCCCTCAAGGTAGCCATTTCGAATTATTACAAGAACTACAATCTAGATATCCATCTGTTTTCTTGATCAATCAGCGAAAAGGATTTCATTGAACCCATCAAAACTGGATTTGAAGATATCTTCCGCATCCCCCTCGATTGACATTTCGACATTCTTATCTTAATCCGATAATTAATTTTACATTTCTAGATATTCTTATCTTAATCCGATAAATAATTCATGAAAATTTTCGGTTATCTTTGTTCACTGAAGTGGTATTGTGTAATATTTAATCTGGAAACTTCCTGTTATTCCGAGGACGTAAATATTGTGCGCGCATACATTTCTGCGAATGAAATTAATCAATTGTCGTGGGATGTTTCGATAGAATACAAGGATTAAGATCTAGAAACTTAAAGTCCAATTATTCAAATAATTGGAATCTAGGTATTAAGAAGATCAGAATCTAGAAAACTGGTATTTGATCTAGTGATTTGGAAGCTTCTTAATACAAGGATTAAGATCTACAAACTTAAAGTCTAATGATTCAAATACTTGAAATCTAGTTGTTAAGAAGATTGGAATCTAGAAAACTGGTATTTGATCTAGTGATTTGGAAGATTGAGATCTAGAGAATTAGTACCTAATGATTCGAAAGATTAAGACCAAGAAGATCAGAATGTAGTTGTTCAATAAAGAAAAAATGGTAAACGGTGCTGTAGGTGTTGAGAATCAGCAACGGCAAGCCGAACGCCCCCGCATTGTGGATCGACGGAGGTATTCACGCGAGAGAATGGATCTCGCCAGCATCAGTGACCTACATCATCGATCATCTGGTCGAAAACAGCGACAGCCTCGAGGCTGATTATTACATCCTCCCGGTGGCTAATCCTGATGGGTAAAGATTCATCGATAATCTCAATAATGATATTCACAAAATCATACTGATTATTCTTCTCGACTGATTTGCAGCTACGAATACACTTTCACGAGAGATCGTCTGTGGAGAAAGAACAGGAGGCACACGATTGGCAGTTCTTGCACTGGCGTCGATCTCAACAGAAACTTTGGCTACCGATGGGGTGGCATGGGGACCAGCAAAGATCCCTGTCGCGAGATTTACGCTGGTTCTGGACCATTCTCCGAACCTGAGACCAACGCTATCAAGAACTTCTTCGAAGCTAGCGCAGCTAACTTCAAGGTAACTTGAGATCAATCTTAAAGAGATTGGACACCTTTAGAACAGAACGTTCATGATTCCCATCCCAGTGACGGAAATATCTTCAACTTCTTGATTGTACTATAAAATAGTCAAACATTTAGTGTCGAATAAATTACGCAATAAACTTAGGAGGATCTTTAACCCTTTGACGAATGTCGACGTTTCCGCGAGATGAAAATTTCATATTTGAAAGACTAAGTCGACGAATGATTTATTCGAACAGCAAGATATCAGTACATAGTTTCCTTTTCTATATATTAATTAAGCAATTGATAGGTAATTCAATTTCATCTGCTGAAGGTTTCGTATATTTTATAGAATCTCCGTCTGCGAAGGGTTAACTGATGAAAACAAACATTCCAGTATCTTCAGAAGGAAATTAATTTGCACCTCTTCTAAAATGATAATCTATAGAAATTTAATGTAGAAGAAATAACTTTCATTTTTTCTTATTTTCAGGCGTATTTAACGTTCCACAGTTATGGCCAGTTCATCCTGTACCCATGGGGTTACGATAGAAGGGTTCCACCGGATTACGCGGACCTCGAAAGGGTTGGCAGAGAGGTATCCACGGCGATGAAGAAAGCCGGCGGCGCGAACAGCGCTTACACGGTTGGGAACAGCGCCACGACGTTGTACGCAGCTTCCGGTGGCTCCGACGACTGGGCTAAAGCTATTCTGAAGATAAAGTACACGTACACGATCGAGTTGAGGGACACCGGGAAATACGGTTTCGTTTTGCCATCGCGCTACATCATTCCAACGGCGAAGGAAGCTTTGGCAGCGGTGATGGTCGTCACGGAAGCTTGCAAATCATTGTAATTACCCGTGATTGCACTGAGATTCATTCTCTCTGAACGAGAAGCTTGTATAAATATTATTATCGGTATACCTGCGTACTGCTAGTGGATAAGAGATTTTTATGTGCGAATTATTTATTGAACGAAAAGAATTGATAAAAACTGATCGAATATTTATTTACCCCTTACCCAGAAAGCGACATTTCCTGATTATAACCTTGATATGTTAAGAAAATGTTTAGAAGCAATCGGGAAGCATGAAACGAACTGACAGGTTGATCGAATAATATATATTCCATTAGCAGCGATAGGGACGAGGAGGGGAGAGAGTTAATTTATTTTGAAGCGCGTTATCTTTTAATACCTTCTATTTCCGATAACGCATTTTACAATATTTCCGTGGAACTTGATTACTCAGTTTTACCTGAATATGGATTTCTTACTGACTGATAACTAAACTCTAATTACAAGAATATTATCAGTCGGCGTTGATTAAGTATAATTTAACATGACCACCGCGATCCACGTGATGAAGGCTGACACCCTCGTGTACACCGAGGGCGCGTTTTTCGCTCCGCAGGGAAACAGTCCCCACGAGACTATTCCGACCACTTCCGCTTCACCGAAAGCGTTCCTCCTTACCAAAGGACCTCCAGAGTCACCCTAGAAAATATTAATAAATGAGAAGCTTAGCTTCCACTGTGTCTACATCATTGAATCAGTCGTGGATCAACATTTTTCTTCTCCCAACGATTCATTTATATGTACAATTACATTTGATAATTAGGTCTTTGTAGATCGACTGTGAATTTTAATAAAATCTTTGTCCTGGAATTTAATTTACCAAGTATATGATAATGTTTGTTACAGAAACTGAAGAAGACGAAGCGAAGTTATACAAAGTACCTTGCAAGCAGACAAACTGCCATCCAAAGGCCCCGTGCAGATGTTAGTCGGATGCAGCGGATTCTTCTCCTTCGGTTTCAAAATCTTGTCCAGGGTAAGTTTGCACAAATCGTACTCGACTATGGGCAACGTGGCTGCTTGAAGATTCTCCGGATTTTCCGGGGCTCGCGTCCTCCCTATGCTACCCCATCCGCTCAGCATAACGTCCCCAGACGGTATCGAGTCTGGATATGGCAAGGACACAGTGGAAACGAAGACGTTCAACTCGAACGGTTGCTCTACCTTCATCAGCGCTATGTCGTACGGCGCGACAGTCCTGAAATAACCATTAATTACCTGCGGAACCTTCAGTTTTCTATATGTACCATTTTCAAACAGAGTCCCAGATTTACTTAGAATATTCGAAGGGAACTAACTGAAAACATAAGGGAAAATCCCAATCCAAACTCTGTAACTTTGTAATCTCCATTACATTCAAACTCCAATCTCAATATAAGTTCCATCAATAGTCGGTATAATTTTAGAAGCCAAAGTATTAACTTCCTCAATGTTTCTTTTGAACTTAACGTTACCTTAACCCTTTGCAATCCAGAAGTTTTTCAATATTCAATATTTTCTAATTAGACAACAAATCACTAGATCAAATACCAGTTTTCTTGATTTTAATCTTCTTAATAACTAGATTCCAATTATTTGAATAATTAGACTTTAAGTTTCCAGATCTTAATCCTTGTATTTAATCGAAGCTTCCAAATCACTAGATCAAAGTTTACAGTTTGTTGTGTTAAATCATTTGGTGACTTAGAGCCTTTGGAGTGCAAAAGATTAAGATTATATCGATTACATTTCCCTCCAGAAGAGTCGATTCCCAAACTCACCCGTCGTATTGTGGATGAACGATCACCTGCTCGACGAGCCTGCTCTGCTCGGTGTCCTCCATGACGCCGAGTTTGTATTTCCCAGCGAGGATCAGGTACTCCCCCTTGGATGGGGCGAGAGTTACACAGTGTCCAGCAGTCAGCACCCAGCCGGCAGTCAATAAACTACCACCGCAGACGTGTCGCGGCGGGATCTTCCGCTCCCTGTCGCCCCAGTGGACCGACAACTGCCAGGGATGCAGTCCTTTCTCGGCGTCCTTTCCCCCGACTATCCTCGTCGGCCTCCGCGTCAGCATCGCCGACTTCGACATCATCTCTGTGAACAAAAAACTCGGTTAGACAAGATCAGCTGGATCCATGTACTCAGGTGGATCAGTTAAATCCGATGTTTCACCGTCCATCGAGGAACTCCGCGCCAGGCCAGACAGTAGCAGTACGAGCGACGCTAACGAGTTCATCGCGCGGAACTAGCGATGGAATTCGCTCAAGCAATCAGGATCGAATGGCCTAGGCGAGAGTGCCCAGTGTCAAGGTGTCCGCGTTCGCGGAAGAACATCCTGGGAAGGAATTGGAGAGAGCTTTCTTTCTATAGACTGGAACTGGTTCCAGCGAGCTGGACCATTGCTGACTGCAAATGGATTGCATCAGTCGGTGTCCAGGTTTTCACTTGTGGACACTTCTTGGTCATTAGAGGTGACATATCCGACATATGAAAAGTAGCTGCAGTAGGATCGTTATTGATCTTTCAATTGTATTGTTTCTAACGTCGATGTGTCTCGAGTTTAAACCTTGAGAATGGGAATATAATATTGAGACATGATCAGTGAATGGTAGAATGATTTGGAATAGTTCTTTGGTATAAGGCTATTGGTGAAATAGAAGTCAATAGAGGTGACATGTCTGACATATGAAAAGTAGCTGCAGTCGGATCGTTATTGATCTTTCAATTGTATTGTTTCTAACGTCGATGTGTCTGGAGTCAAGACCTAATCAAGACTTAACCAAGACCTAACTAAACTTTGTAAGGCGGGGGGAACAGTTTTTGAGAAATAAAGCGATTTCTAACGTCGATGTGTCTGGAGTTTAAACCTTGAGAATAGGAATATAATGTTGAGATATGATCAGTGAATGATTTGGAATAGCTCTTTGGTATAGGTAGGCTATTGGTGAAACAGAATATGGAGATCGCATATGTACACTGGCTAAAAAGAATCTTTATTTAATATTTAAGTAGACTGAAGTATAAAAGTTCAGTTCTTCGCGATAGTGTTCTGAATCCAGCTGTTGAAGGCAGAGGTCCTGGTGTAGACCGATGGTGCACCAGTCGTGCCGCACGGCACGATACCCCAAGAGACGATACCGATCACTTCAGGTTTGCCGTTCCTGGAAAGGATCAATGGGCCGCCAGAATCACCCTGAAATGGGAAATATTATTAGCGAAACATTCCGCATATCGCTTGATTCGCTTCGCGAGATCCAGCTTCCTTACGTTGCAAGCTGAGTAACCGCCAGTGAGAGGTCCAGTGCAGACATTGGTCGAGTGCAGAGGGGACGGTCCAACCAATTGTTCGATTGCTTTCTTGCAGGTGTTCCACTCGACCAGAGGCAGGTCGGCGGTTTGGAGTTTGTCGGGCATATTGGGATTATTTGATCTGGACGTTGATCCCCAACCAGTTAGCGTTGCGACTCCGGTTGGAACGTTTCCTGACAGCGGCAGATTGACCACCTGAACGGCTTTAGTCAGCAGCAGGGGCTTCTCCAGTTTCAGCAACGCGATGTCGTACGGAGCAACGTTCCTGGAATTCACGGATCGAATGTTCGGTAAGACATTCCTCGATTTGGGAACTAGGATTTTGCTTTGAGAACTGTCTTCTCGCTTTTAGAGCTAGAGTATCGGTTTAGAAATTATTCTATCGTCTTGTAAATACCAATAATTATATAATACCAATTTTGAAATCTTAATTATGGACTACAATGGAGACTATTGCCTTGGAAGCTAGACGATTGATTTCGAAAGTGTACTATCCATTTCAAAACGATAATTAAAGATTACAATCAAGAATTAGGATTCGCTCAATTTGGGAACTAGTTGCTGGAGCATAGTCGATTAGGATCAAGTGGATCAGTTGAATTTGAATTATTTAGAAACGCTGATCGCCTGCTACTCACCCGACGTATTGTTCGTGCACGATTGATTTAACAACCTTGACGACCTGTTCGTTGGCTTCCTTTGTTGCCAGGCTGTGCTTGCCTGCTTTGACAACGAAGTTGCCGTAACTAGGAACTGCCAGGACACAGTGGCCCGCGGTAAGGACCCATTGGCTGTTGATGATGGACCCACCGCAGAAGTGGGAGTACGTGTAGATACCCCATTGCAGAGACACTTGCCACGGGGACGTGCCCGGTACGGCTTCGGTTCCTCCGACGATTTGAGGGTCGATCAGTGACACGGGGAAGCCCATGTAGGGCTTCGCTGTGAGATCAAAAGATATTTATCTGATTCCTCCATTTAGTTTCATTTCATTTCATTTCATTGTTTCTTCTGTTATTTATTACGCACAGAAATCAGCTCAGTAGCTGTACACCGACAAAAGATGTTTACAGGTTTTCATTTTAATGGGAACTAGATGATTGTTTATAGAACTTCATATGACAAATTTGAGTACCTTGAATTAAGAGAACTGTCAATTATGCTACAATGTGTCCCGTGTGGTTTAGTTGGGAATTATTTAGAGTTGTTCTACTTACCAGTGACTGCCGCTGCAAGCAGGAGTACTCCAACAGTGAATTTCAGAGACATATCGATGATTTGATGTGATTTTCAAGAACGGAACGTTTTATATAGGAAGCTGACAGGCTATCGATGACGCTGCTATACCCGATACAGCAGTTAAACCAATGCGATCCGCGATCGATAACGATAAAAGATGTCGTTCTGACGGATACATCTGTCTTATCGATGTTTCAATTGTGAAATTCAGAATAAAATAGGTGAAGATAGATCAGCCGTGCAACCGAGCACATATCAGTCCCCACTTGCAATAATAAAAAATGTTTCTACGTATGCTCTAGTTCTTCGTTGCTGGTAGATAAAGGTATAACCGTGCTTGTAATCTAATTGAAGTGCAATAGTCTATTAACGTTATCAGCGTTGACGATAATATTGAACTACTAGTCGTAATTTACTAATCTACAAATGCTATTCTTGCGAAAAATATTATTTAAACAATAAAAAACCGGCGGACAATCTACGGAGATTAAAATAATTCATTCATCCATTCTTTCCTTCCGCTTATCTGACACTTCCTCGCATTTCGCTGTTTGATTGATAACATTTTAATATCCGCGCGATAGCGACGCATGAATTTATTCATTATTGTTTGTAAATCTACAGTTGATAAACAATCGTTTCGTCGAAACGAACGTTTCGATGCTTTATCTTTATTCTAGGAGGAATGGGTGTAACATCGAACTCAGTTTGATTTTGATTGAATTGACTTATTTATTAATTTCAAGTGTCACCATGGTGACATGACCGGTTCACAAATTTATTGTAGTCGACGCAGGTTTGCGGAATTTTGTCGTTGTCATTGAATCGAACGTTTCGACGCTTTATCTTTATTCTAGGAGGAATGAGTGCAACATCGAACTCAGTTTGATTTTGATTGAATTTATTGACTTATTTATTAATTTCAAGTGTCACCATGGTGACAGGACCGGTTCACAAATTTATTGTAGTCGAGGCAGGTTTGCAGAATTTTGTCATAGTGTCGTTGAATCGAAGTTTACAGGGCGTGCTCGTGGATCCAGTCGACGTAGGAGGCGACGCGAGTGTAGACAGATGGCATGTGGCTGACACCGCATGGCATCATACCCCATGAAACGATACCAACTTGGACGCCATTCTGGGCGAGTGGGCCACCAGAGTCACCCTGGAAAGAAGACGAATGTTAGAAAGGAGTTCAGAAATCACGATTTAATTCCCCAAGGATGTTAACATCTTTGCTTCCCTTTTTCTCTCTTTATATTACTTGCAACAATTAACTCAATTAGGGTTACCTAAGAAACTAAACACGTACGCCTTTCTTTTCCTCTCCACAATAGTTAACTATAATTATTCAACTAGAGAAATCGAAAATTATTGCTTCCCTTCGCATTGCTCCGAACAATTAACTCAATTACCCAACTCTAGAAACCTAAAATTTCTACTTTTCCTTTTCTCTTCGCGTTGTTCGGTACAATTAACTTAATTGCGGTTACCCAACTCGAGAATACAAGATGTTTAGCATAAAAATTCAGCGCAGTCTTCGATGAGAGTATTGATTGTTTATAATTAGAGGGATGTCAGTAGTTATAAGCGAACTTACAGAGCAGGCAGAGACTTCTTTGCCAGCGGCTCCGCTGCAGACCTGGGTGTCGAAGAGTTCAGGTTGCTGGCCAACAGCTGGCTGGGAGGTGAGTTCCTTGTAGCATTCGGCGTTGTCAAGGATTGGAACGTAAGCCTTCTGGAGGACAGTTGGCAATACTGGGACGATCTTCTTGGAGACTGATCCCCAGCCGGAGAGGACAGCTTCTCCGACCTGTTTTTCGCCTTGCTTGGGCAGCTTGACGGGTGCTACCAATTTGTTCAATTTCAGGGGAGATTCCAATTTCAACAGGGCAATGTCGTGTTGGGCAACACCTCTGCGAAATTACGGAAAAGTTGATTAGTGCGCGGTTGCTTCGACGTTGGAAGTTATGCAAGGATCAGCCCGTTGCTCGAACTAAATTTTGTGAATAGTTCCATTTCACTCCAGTTCCAATTCATTTGGAAAGACTAAGTTGCAGACAAATGATTTAATTACTCGAGCAGCAAGAGATCAGCGTGTATTCCATCTTGTCTATTGCTGAAGCGATTGATGTATGATTTAGCTTGATCTGCTGAAGGTTTATCATTTTTCAAAGAGTCTTCGTTCAAAAGGTTGAAATATTAACCCTTTGCTGACGAATGTCGACATTTCGGCGAGATGAAATGTTCATATTTCGAAGACTAGGTAGCAGACAAGTGATTTAATTGCTCGACAGTTAGAGATCAGCACGTAGTTTCCTTTTCTTCTATTGATCAAGCGATTGATAGATAGTCTAGCTTCGTCTATCGAAGGTTTCATAAACTCTAAAAACCTTCGTCCGCAAAGGGTTAAGTGATATTAAATTATATTGAAGAATTATTTCGACAACTAACCCTTTGTATCCGCTGTGGACAACAGACTTGACAACGTTGATGACCTGTTGGGATGACTCAGCCTTGTTCAGGTAGTATCTACCAGCGACAACACGGAGCTTTCCAACTTTCAGGACGCAGTGTCCAGCGGTCAAGATGTACTTCTCGTTGAGGATGGAGCCACCGCAGGCGTGGGCGTAGGGTTTCAATGGTGGGATTCCCCATTCGATCGAGACCTGGTACGGGAACTCACCGGGTTTGGCGTCGATGCCGTCGGTGATGCGTGGGTTCAGGTCATAGGGCACAGCCCAGCAGACTGGAATAAATGAAATTCAACGTTTCATTTGATTCTTTAAACGATCTTGACAATCAAAGAGGAGATTCAGAAAGTTAACGCGAAATACAAAGTAAGATCAGAAAGAAAATTGGAATTTCAGAGAGTCGGTGTTAAGCGAAGTTAAAGATGGCGGTTTCTTACCCTGCAGGAGGAAGAGTGAAGCCAGAGCACACTTGGTGAACATTGTCGTACGATTAGTTTGTTACAACTTGCGAAAGTAACCGAGAGTTACGATTTATATATGAAATTGTACGACGATATCTCACGATAATTCAACATAGTAATCGATAATGAGACCTCTCGACTCTATTTTTACGCAGACATGTTTACATTTTAACAATTATACCCGACAAGTGTCACGATTATCGTTCCATATCGCGATCTTCGTAATTAGTCGCACTGTCTGTGATTGACTGATTGTTTCGCAGTGATTACTTCACCGGAGTCCTCTTCGAAGCTCCTCGACTTAACAATAGCTCTCGGTGACAACTAAAAGCGAGCGTGTACCCTGATATTCAAGCAGCAATTAACAAACAGACCATCACACTCGAATCCGATACATCATTTTTATTCATGAATTTTTACATTGTTCCAGATGTCGCTTAGATAATATACTGGTCACTTATATAATATACATAAAAATCTATAATATAAATTCTATAATAAATTACTATACTTTACAATATTTACACGATCGATCATTAGCGCAGTTACTAGAAATTATTTAAAATTACCTATCTCGTATTCATCTCGATAATTTACTGATTAACAAAGATCCGAGATTAGACTCTTGAACTTTATACGCATTCGACGATCGCACGATCAAACGGAGTTTACTGTAATCAACGATCGGAACGTGATCGAGCCGAGCTCTTGAGTCCAGACACATAGATCGAGATACTCGTCGGTGAATTTTATTTTCATTCGGTTGGAAACGTGCGAGACGACGCACGTCTGTTTTCTATACAATTCTCTCCTACGTGGAGTCGTTCTTACGGGACAATTAATTAATTAATTCTCAAGTTTTCCCTACAATTTCACGTGTTGCAAGTGACTAGCCGAGCGATCGTTCGTATCCCCGCCCAAATTTCGCGGGAAGTCGGCACGATTTGCGATGCCGGAAGTAGGAACCCGTAAGTACCACGATCTCGAAGCTCCAGCGTGTACGCGTACTTTATCCCAGCCACACCTTTCGCCCAATCATCGGAAGCTCCTGCAATCGATATTAATATTTTAATTAATATTTCATAATTCAATTAATATCCTGTACTTTGCTCGATGTTCCTCCATTACATTAATAACAGTCTTATCTTTCCAGACTCCAGATTAACGCACTCGCATTCTTGTTAACTCTCTCGAATATATTAATGTTAATTCGAAGAGACTTTCGAATAATACAACAATCATGTCTCGCTTCTCGAGTAGATCGTAGCTCGATAACGATTTTTCCCTCTTTTAATATAAGATAATAATTTTTAAGCTCGGGCTTTCAATTTCTCGTTATCTCGCGCCTTATCTTCTCTATCTTCGACCGGATTTCCCAGCAGTTACTGACAATGTAGATGAAGTGATTTTATTGGAGATGGCTTAATTATCAATTAATTATCGCCGCCAATTTAGCCGAGCTCGTGAATGTGTCGTATAAAGTGAGATTTTAATTCTGATTTATAACTGTTGATGAATTAGCAATGTCATTTATCAGTGTAGTTAATTATTCAAATGAAATCCTGTGCGTGAGATTAATATCAATCGTAATCAATTCGATTCCATTTTAATCCAAGACAATTTTCAATTCTTCCCCTGTCATTTATATTTACATTTCAGAAATCACACGTTTCAACGTATATTTTGTAACAATCTTTGTGTCCGATTCTCCGTGAAATGGTATTAAACAAACGGGATAAGAATCTCGAATCCATACCACTTACCAACAGACACATGAACAATGCCTAAGCAATCGTACCTGAAGTGGGATAGAGAAGGTCAGCCGATGGACCGAGCTGATAATCGGTGCCATGTATCTTCGAAATCGCGTTTATCGCCTTTTTGGCAGCGCCCGCCAGCTCCGAATAATCCGACGGTTTCGAATACGTGTATCCCCACGGGACCAGCCACATTTGCGAGTAAGAGTGCAGCGTCAGATACATTCTGAAAGTATCGTTCGAACCGTTAACATCGAGGAACCACTTCGCCATAATCGATCAAACTCTCATTCTTCATACTTAGACATTCTTCTCAACTTCAACTTCTTTCATTTCTTGTAAAGCAATCAACTGGCGTGCAAAGGTAATGGTTTAACTCGCACAGTGTAATTAAGAAGATAATTCTGCATAAAAGAAGAAGGGAACAGAATTTCTTCGTTTGATAATTTTACTTATGAGAGAGTCTATAAGATAGACTAATTCTTTAGTAGATAAGCATGTCGAAGTAGAATCGTTCGCTAAGCCAATTTACCTAATGTTTCGCTTGTTAGCCAGAATATAGTCGGCCATTGCCTTCGTTTCCGGCTCGGAGAACGCGTGGGGGCCAGCGTATGTTTCGTGACAGGGGTCCGAGCTCGCGCCGCCCTCGTCCATCTCGCCCCAGTGGTAGCCAAAGTTCCTATTTGGATCAACCCCTTCGCATTTCCCCCAGAACCACCTAGCATAGTGGCTCACCAGTCGCAGGAGGCTGAAACGAAGGTCTAATCGTCAGTGAATTGGAAGAATTTCATGTCGTGTCTCGAGGAAACCAATCATTTTTTCATTCTGAGATTTTATTAACCCTTAATGGAGCAATGTCGTCGTATCAGTTACATGGCACTTTTACTTAACGAGTTCACTTGTATATGGTAAAAGTCATTTTACTATTTTTAACACTGTAATATTCACAATGCAGAGGTTAAGTATCGTGCCAGGTCACTTCTGAATTTGTTTCAGCTTCTTATCTATGTTACGGTGATTTTTAAATTCATGGTGGCTCACAGTAAGATATCACATTACACAGTGTGTACCATTGATGGCTCATTAGACGGTGTGTAGCATGAAAAATCTCGTCAAATGGTTTGGTAATTAGAAAACATTGCCATATAGTTGAGAATCAATTTACTTATTGATCATTTCGATATTTTTATCAGTTTTGAGAATTCAGTCGCCAAATGGGAACATGTTAAGGGTTAATGATTTCATTATAAGGAAAGACTGAGAGTGGATTCCTTCGTTAGAGGACACTTTTGTTCATTCGTTCGGTCTGGGAATAATCATCCAGATAAATGAACTACAGCTCCACTATAGTTTAGAAAAACAGAATATCCTACCGACTATCGTCTTGATCCTCGCCATGATTACTCCTCGTCTTCCTCCAGAGTCTGTCTCCGGTGTGACTGAACTCGTAGCCGTCCGGATTCGCGACAGGCAGAATCATCCAGTCCGAATTGTCCAGCAATTTCGTGTAACTCGAGTTCCTCTCGACTAACTGGCTCACTATGTAGGTCGCCACGGCTGTGCCGATCCATTCTCGCGCGTGCATGCCTGCCGAATACGATGACAATTCAAGGGACGGACATGGTAACGGTATAAAGTGGAGCTGAAGTGATCCTTTCTGTCCCGATGACTCGACAAGTCGAGAAGCTTCGTGAATATTTTTGGCGGATCATCTAATACACTGGTCTTCAGTCTCTTTCCCATATAAATGAGCTTCGGTATTTGGTTTCGTTTGAAGAGACTCTTCATGATTCTACGTATTGCTTGGCGAAGTAAAGCAGAAGGTATTAGAAATCATTAGAAAGAGACGAGAAGCAAAGATAAAGAGAAGAGAATAAATTAGTATTCCTGACCTAAAACCCTCCTCAAAATGAATCAATTAACTAGCAATTGTGTAGTACTAAATTTATAGCTTACAGTTCCTTTTGTTCTGAGTTGCGTGCAGGGTAAAGGTCATTCGCAGGACAATGAATACCCGGATTCAAATCGTATCGTTGAATCATTAAACATTCGATTATTCGTCAATAGGTGCTCGATCAATCAATCTTTCCACCCGATGGTATACACAGATATAAATTCTGATGCAACTTTTATTGGAATTGCACGATACCAACGTCCCCTTCTGTGAAGGCTATCTATTGACTGCATCATCGACGTGTGTCGCGACGCATAAATTGAATTATGGGGTACATTTACTACCGGCGTAAATATGCTCCGCGATGCTTGTTCATTGTAACACACAGATGGAAAGTTGAATTATACTCCATTAAAGTAATTGCGAAAAGAGTTCATAATACTGTCTCTTATTCATCGACAGGAATTTCTTTCGATTGTCCTGTAAACTTTAAAGTTCCTCGAGATTTGGAATAATTCATTCGATATCGGTACGAAAACGATATTTCCTATTGTGTTGCTTTAGATAAACAGTCGGTTACGATAAACGAGTTATTGAAGCAGTGGAAAATGTCTACGAGGTACTCCTATCGATAAAAATCTTCATGAAAGTTTATCGGTGCCAGAACATTCTGCACAGATACCTGATACTCGAGCGAATCTTCGGATGAGCTGAGTGTTTCCACCGGAGAACCAGTTTCTCGTGCACGCGGAGAAGAAACTTTGTTTTATTATTCAGAGCATCTCGTGCGTAAATCAGCGAGACAGCACCGAGAATAATAAAGATCAAGATTTTGTGTCAAACACCGAAACGTGCCGGTTATAGAACTCTCTATATTTCCTTTGAATAATTTCGCACGGAGATAAGCGAATGTCGAGCACGTACGGGTCTCTTTTTATTTTTCCCTGTTATTCTATGGTCTCCGCGTGTATTCTGCTGGCGACCCGGTAAACGTTCATTCATGGAATTCTCTGAGAAGATCTAGGACTCACCCGCGTCTATCCATACCGCAGGCTTCGCTTCGCCATCTTTGTTGGGGCCGGTAGAGATCTTCACCATTTTGATTGGTTGTCCTTCGAAACTGTGCCCTATTGTTATTAGCTCCACCATGCTGGGGTACTTGAATGCTAGGTACTCGAGGTACCTGACGATTTCTGGATAACAGAGGTCAAATTAACATTCATTTATAAACGAGATCTCAGTGTATTTGAAATAATGTTATCAATATAAACGGTCATAGAATGATTAGAATCCTGATTTAGATTGAGGAAATTAAATTACTAGAATTGAGGGTGTATTTGAAATAATGTTATCGATATAAACAGTCATAGAATGATTAGAATCGTGATTTAGATTAGGGAAATTAAATTAGTAGAACTAAGGGTGGATTTTGAAATTAGTTTCGAGTGGAATTAATTACCTGCGTATCGATGGTACCTTTTCCAAGTCATGCTGTGTCCCTGACTAGTGACCAGATCCTCGCGTTGCTCCTTCGACATCCTTGGATTCTGGTGTGCTATCGTTTTCTGTCATTCGATGCAAATTATAAAAACAAATGAATTAGAAATTAATATTCGAACTTATGCAAACGTCTATGACTATGAATCAGTGGATCATACCTGAAGATTTGGTATCAGTATCTTAAAATCGATCCCTCTTTCCCTGAGGAATGTTTTCAGATCGGAAACTAGATCTGGAGCAACAACTAGATCGGTTGATCTGAAACGTCAACATTTTCTAAGAAGCATAATGTTAGTAAGAAAACTAGTTTATCGGTTTTTATGATTAATATACTTGTTGTAGAACGGTTGCGTCCAGAACCTGATGTCCTCCGGTTCGGCGTCCCTGAGTTCTCTCAGTTCGTTCACCTGACTCTCAGAATCAGGGTACACCCTGATCAGCTGATAGTTTTTGTAATTCACTCTTGCGGATCGTGCTTTCGATATTTTTTCCGGACCAATTATACTAGCCACGATGGAACCGATGCCGTTAGACACCGCTGAGAACACCGACTCGAACATATCGACAAAAGAGAATCCTCTTCCAGTATTCTCAGAAAACGATGATCTAGATTTCCCTGTGAAATTATCTTCATCGCAGGCTTCGTCTTCTTCGTCTTCGTACCTGTAATTACGAATGTTTCAGTACTTCCACGGAAAGAGAACTACTCAGCCAATAAACCTCTTTTCGACTTAAAAACACTAAGCCGATGTAAATTCCAAACATCAAGCTGAAATCATAACTTAACAACCCACACCATGAATATAAATATTCCACAATTTAAAGAAGCACGGATCTTCCATTTACAAAACTCAAAATATAAAAGATATTTACAGTATAAATACATTATTTATTCAAGCTTCTATCTCAATGTCTCGGTTAAACCAGGAGCAAATTGAAACATTGAGATAGAAGTTTGAATAAATATAGGATCTATTTATACTGTAAATATCTTTTATATTTTGAGTTTTGTAAATGGAAGATCCGTGCTTCTTTGGATCGTGGATATTTGTCTCGGTTAAACCAGGAACAAATTGAAACATTAAATTCGAGGTCTATCAAACTAATTTCACTTGACATACGAACCCATCCCACGATCCTTCCTCCAAGGACCAATCCCGTCTAGCCGAGGGCGTGTTGTTCGCTGGTTGCACGGAAAATTCGAAATCACCGCGTTGCGGTCGCGGCTCGATCGAATTCGACAAAAGAACGATCGAGAAACCGAACGCGAGGATCGACTGGACGTCGACAGCCATGGTCGGCCTGAATCAGGCCAGGATATGCGATCGCCTCGGAGTCACCTTGTTGACTGTTCCCGTGGTGGTCCGCAGCCGGAACCAGTCTCTGGGACTTGTTGCTCGTAAGCGTATGCGGAAAACGACAGTTTCACTGGTCTGCCCCACGGGCCCGGCTTACGGGATTTCTGTGTGGTATTTAGTACTCGGGTTCCTTCTCGGTCTCTAGGCCCAGCTAGTAATCCAACTGAATTGAAAGATAAGAAAGTAATAGAACGCTATCCTACTTTCCAGACGAACCTTTACTAACGCAACGATTTCCATCGGATGCCCTCGAATACGATGATATTCATTGGAAATATTAACCCTTTGTACTCGAGAATGTTTTTCTCGAGAAATATTCATTATTTTCTGGTGTGATATCGATGGTATTTTTTACAACTAAAGGAATACCTTGCGTAAACTAAGCGACAGAATTATCTCATTTCGATGTTCCATGTGTTGATACATTATAGACAGTTTAATGTTGAATTTGAGATTTTATCGTTTTCTTTATCTTTTCTTTTCGAATCAAATGGCGACTGAAAGGCGCCTCTCGAGTGCAAAGGGTTAATCTACGATTGACTATTTAGGTATTTCTTTTTATTCCAAGAACCATATTCGATGATTGAAATTGAATTGTGTTGTTTAAATGATGTTGATAGTGAAACAGCATTTCAGCGTGTTCTCGTTTGTAATCGTTTGTGGATAATTTGTATTATGAGAGATTATGGTAATTATTTTAACGAGCGTTTCAAGTGCGATGCGTTCGAGTGCAGCTTCTTACCTTCAAAAGTGTAACGGCGGAAATGGGTTAACTCTTGTTTTCTTAGAAACGGTACCGATCAATGAATCTTCTTTAGAAGCTCCCCGAGTAAAACGTCCTCACGTGTCACGCGAAGGAACGCGGCGAGCGGAAAAGTTTTTGCCACTTTTCTCCTCGGCGCCGCTCGTTTTGTTCCTATCCCGTTAACGGTAATCGAAGTAATACTGCCACTTACCGTGTAATACAATAGTTGCGGCCCGTTCGGGACGGAAAATCGAAAAGATGATGGATCGCCGGGGCAAAAAAATCATATAATTCACTAGTTACTTTCGTTCTCGACGCAGAGAGTTTGTTACTGCTCTCTTGACACGCGAGTTTAGAATGAACGACGGAAATTCTTCGCCTATATACATCCTATCACAGCATCATTAAACTCTGCCATGGAAAATGAAAAATATTCATTAATAATCAATTCATATTCTTCACAATGAATCTCATAATTCTTTCAATACTTTGACTACATTAATAACCATCGTCTCCATGAAAAATGTAACATTCTAAATGAAAATTTCGTATTCGATGTCTTGTTGACGCGTTAGATAATTCGCGTCAGGATGAAATTGAAACAAACACTCGTACGCTGCGAATATGATTTATTACGGTTACAACTATAAGAGACACGCCGTTCCGGCGCGCAACGATACAATTATTGCGTGAACGTACGTAATAATAGAGCGTAAATAAGTAATAATAATTAAGAATTATTATAATGACTGGTGTTAAATTAATGATTACTCGGTTAGTCAGGTTTCCACGTGTACGAAAATGATATACATACGATAATAAAGGGGAGGGGACGGTCCTCCGCTCGCCCGGGGAAATTAGACAGGGGGTTCTCGGCGTGAGGGAGGGTAAAAATCGGCCAACGAAGCCCGTCGTCTCTAAACTCATCGAATTCATCTTCGTTCCGAGTATACACATCGAATTTTGACTAGCACAGTGTGTGTTTCCGACGGATATAAATTTCCCTCCTCTTCGATCGTTCACAGTCGTCTTCGATCGTAAATATCAAGAACAAACGGAGAAGAGAGAGATTCCTCCCTCGACGCCGACGGAACGCGAAAGAAGAAGACAAAAAAGAAACAGCTGCGCGACTTCGAGGGGGGCTCGATCCGCGTTTCACGCTTCAGCCCCCCTTTCCGTCGGCGGTATTGTCGTAATTACATGTAACAATTCTTTCGTGATAATTGACTGATCATCGTCGTCCGCGGCGCTCGGATCCTCCCCCTTCGCCGTGTCGGACACACCGGAGGACCTCGCTCGCCAGGACGAGTAAAATGGCAAGAACCTACGTGTGGGTGGGAGGGGTTATCAAACGAAATGACGTGTACGTATGCGTGTTTCTGTGTGTATGCGTGCGTATACTATCGTCGGAAAATATTCGAGAATGTTAGTCTGCGAAAGAGGAATGGAACTGAACAGAAAATTCTATTTAACCCTTTGCACTCGAAAGACGACTCCCAGTCAGATGATTTGATGGAGCAACATTAGAAACTTTGGCATTTACCATTACCCTCTATATGCTGCATCGATATGAAATATTGAAAGAAAATACCTGTAGTTCCCTAATTCATATGTGACTTCTTAATAAATTTATTTCAAAGTATCTCGTTACATCTAATTAGAACGTACTGGATATTTCAAGTGAGAATCTCTCAAATGCAAAGGGTTAATTGGACTGAAAGTGATGGTTAATATACTATGCAACGAAGTTTACCGTGATCTTGAATCGATGAAAAATTAAAAGAATCTTCACCAATGAATCTCTTGTTAGTAAATCACCCCCGGAGTTTGATGAAATATTCAAAGTTCATTTCCAACAGAAAAAGAACCAATATTTTCGTCCGATAGTATACGCGTGTGATGCTTCGTTTCCGATACGCTACTCCTCTCCGAGTATCGTTTATGTTGTTCCGTCACGTTGACACGAATCGAATCGAGTCGAACATCGATTCTCCTCGCCCTCTCCCCGAACGCTGCCTGTGGTTTCTTTCACCGTCGAACTTGATCCAGGGGATCGTCACACGTCCCCTGGTGTTTTCATCGATGCGTTCGTTTTCCTGCTGCTCGCTTTTATTTACAGTTATTTATATAACGTCACGACACCATACACGATCAACCGGAGGTTCGGCTCCGCGACGACGTAACATTTTCATCGATAAACATTACTCGAGAGTCCCAGTTGTAACGTGGTAATATTGTAACATACATATGGTTTCAACTATTCGTTCGCGTACAGTGCATTTGCCGCGAGTACGTGCATCGTTTCCGGCTCCCCTTTTTCCGGGTTCGCTCCTCCTCCTCGTTCGTTCGTCGGACGTACTCGCTTTCGAATCCCGCGCTGCGAACACGGTCGATACTCAACTATGCTACCAACTATCGGTACGTTCGCGTGTGCATATCGTTCGCGTAATATTTTTCGCTTTCGGGGCGGAACGCGACGTTGCTGCTATTCCTTCCTTCTTTCTTTCCTCATTATATTACCGTTCGAACCCTGCTCTGCCGATACTGGGTCATTCTCGACTCCCTTATGAACACTGTCGCTTAAAAATCTTTAATTACTCGAAAGATTCAGGTAAAAGATAAAAATAAAAGGCGAAGCTTCGGTGACTACTCTGTCGTTATTCATTTCCAGGATTAATTTTAGTAGTCGAGGATAGTGTATGTTCTATAATCAGAATCATTACGAGATCTCAGAATAGCCCAAACAATCGGCTGATCAAGGAACGAACTATTATCCAGTCGAATGGCAGTCGATCCTGTCCAATCATAGTGAGACAACGTCTTCAGTCCAAGTTACAATAAATAAAATCCACTGTCTACTTCGTAGATCAGATATAAACGTCGGGGTACAATATTCAATCGTGTCAAGACTTAGAAAAGTCTGAAAAATGTCATTGAATAATTGAATAATGTTTGAAATTCTGTAACCATTCGAATGTAACCAGACTCTCAAATTATAGACAGTTCGTGGATCTCCCATTCAGACTATCAGGCGCAGCGCAACGGTCCCCTGCAAAATATGGCGCGCAGGGGACGACGTCAAGGGATCTTAGGGCAATACTAAAAAGTAAACTCCCTATTAGAATTCACCGGAATCCCATAACAACGAATAGATCGGCGATCGGCCGCATCGTCGCGCCCCGCCTCGCGTATACTTTTATATTACTCTACTACCCTCTACGGTAATTACCAACAATAACGATCTCCATTAACAACGTGCCTCCTCTCGCGGCGTGCCACGCCAAGGATGGAATCGAGTTTTCCTCTCCAAGTGTCTCCGCGTCGATCCGATTTCTACCGATAATTGCTACTGTATTGGAACACGTTCATGCTCTACTGACTCGGTTCTACGGTTCGCGAAATGCATGAGGACTTCGTAACGGAAGCCGGTTGTTATCCATGATCCTGTGTCTCCTCATCGGGACCCCGTCGATCCCCTTCGCTACGACCCTCGAGTCGATTTATAGCCGTGGATTAAACGATCCCACGATTTTACTTCTGTCGTCTGAGCTCGGTTGACATCGCTGTTTCGCCCGAGGAACTCAGGGACTGCTGGCGTTTTAGACGATGTTAGCCTTGGACATGGAGCTGCCCATCATCACTTTGTTGACGAAATTCACGATAGCCGTGGCTGGCTGTTCCGGTTCCAACTCCGCGAACACGTGGCACTGATTGTCCGATTTGTGGGCGGGTTTCCTTGCCACGAAACCGAAGCATCGACTGGAACAATGAACGATTCGTCAGCTTGTCTCGTTAATCGAATTGAAATATGGAAGATAGTTATATAGAAACGAATGATGTAAAAGAGATCTGTATTCAGATTATAGAATAATAAAATAAAGAAGATTTTAGGTAAACTGATCATCGATAGATTAGCCCTTAGCAGTCCTATGCCGAGTCAGACTCGACATTCTATTTCATTGCAACCTCTACCTGTTTCAACAATTTTTTCTATATTTATTTGTAGTGTCACAATTGTACCATTTAACACTAGAACTACTGCACCAGTCAAAATGACTGGTTTCGATTTTTTTGCTTAGCAATTATTAATATCTTCGAAGCATTAAATGTTCGAAATGATTTTGAAAATAAGGTTTCATTTCAGTACTATAATGAGTGTCTGAAGAAACTGAAAATAATCTATTACAATTTTTATAGGAATTGCATATTAATCGTATTAAATGCTTGGTAGTTCTAGTGTTAAAGGTAACATTTCAATGACTCCCAAATATTCCTGAATAAATAAATAGAGCGACATACTAAGCAGTAATTGAATGAACTAACGTGAACCTCAAAGTGAGAAACCAAGGGCACTTCGGACCGCAAAGGGTTAGCATTATCGAGACTGCAGAAATCGAAAGAGCTTACTGAGTGGGGACCGGTCGTCCCGTGTCGTCGCTAGAGAATTCCCAAGTGCGTTCTTCTGTGTCCAATCCACAGTAGCTAATATTATTAGTAGGATAATGCCTGCGGAAGAAAAGCTTCCTAGCGTTATCCGTCAGCGTGATGCCCTGCGAGGAGACTTTGAAGTGAACGATGGTCGCAGTGGGTAGTGGTTTCTGTTCAAACATGGTCGTCACTGCTTTCTTGATGGCCTGAGGTCCAGTCAGAGACTCTGTGTCCATTGTGAAGAGGTACAGGACATTGCAGGCTGGGAACAATCGAATAGAAACAATGAACGTCCAATATACATACACAAAACTAACGAATAATAGTAATCAACCCTTTGCACTCGACAGTATTTTTAATGAAAAATATTCATTGCTTTGACTAAATATTAACGATATTTTTAGCAACTAACACAATTGATTATCTTCTATAAATTTAGAGACAGAACTATTTTACTTTGATGTTTTATGCGTTAATATATTGCACAAGGCTTAACCCCTTGGCCTATGATTTCTTTCTCAACTCTGATCGATACGGCTACTTTGTCGTTAATAATTTATTTGAAAAATAAAAAAATTCGAAGCATATGTTATGCCTATATTTCCTTTCAAGTATAATAGTTGTTTACAGAGGAATAATATTTACTTTGAATTCGAATGAACTGAGCAATATATATATATTTGTTGAATCATGTTGAAAATCTTCACCACGAGTCTCACTCGTTATTGCAGGGCAAGGGGTTAATATTGAATTGAAAATTTTATAAGTTTGCTCGAGTGCAAAGGGTAAATTCCTCAAACTCACCTGCACCCTGAATAAGCCACTGCTGCGCGCTATTGGCGCCAGGCGAATCGAGGGCTCTAGCCGCAGCTTCCGGTTCTGGGAGCAACAGTTGGCAAGGCAGCGCCATGGCCATCAAACTGTGCTGGTAAACCAATGCCGACAGAGAGCTGAACACGGGTTCGTTCGCGCATCCTTTCAGTCGAACGCCTCTAGAGGTTGGCTCGATCAAAAAGTGCCTGACCAGCTCGCTGGACGGGTCTTTTGGGCTGCTCGGTGCACCTGGCGGAGGAGTTGCCACTTTCAGGGCTAAGCCGAAGGCTCCTGGGAAAGAGTTGCTGTCTCGGACTACGAACGTTCCTGGCGCTGCGTCCTTCAGCATCGAGATTGCTAAAAGATGATTCTTTGTTATTTAACTAGATTCATAGCGAAGCTTGTTAAGTGTCAGGTGCTAGAAATCACTTGTGTTAGTGAGAGCCTAGTAGATCTAGACCTGTATTAGATAACCTTTCTATATTAAAAATATGTTTTACTTTATTCAGGTAATTCAGTCGCAGAAGAGTATTGTTCGCGAAAGCCCTATCTAGATAGGGCTTTCGCGAACTCTTTAGGATCTGCCGAAGCTAAACGAAGGAAAATATATTTCTACCATAGAAAAAGCATCGTTCCCAACTGTTAGGTACCGAAATCAAAATTTCTTGGAGTATTTGGAGAAATGTAAACGCAACGAACCTTGCTCCCGAGATATGTTAGGCTTGTACCAGATCCTGCTGGTGTCGCGCACGAACTTCACATTGGCATCGGCTACCTCCTGTGGCTCGGTGTTCGAGTGAACGCTCGACCGTCTGGAACCGTAATACTGAACCTGCGGAGACGACTGGCCGCCGCTGTTTATGGAGGTGTACGACGCGGCGCTCTAAAATTCGATAAAAACCGTTCGAGAACTTCCGTAATCCGCGCGACAGTTTCAATTACGAATAATCGAATCGGCGAACAGGATTTTCCGGTTCAATTTGACGACGTCCGCCGACATCGGTTGACCATATTAACGCGACGAACGTATCGGGAAAGTGGACTAACCTTCGGACTTTGGGCGAACTCGATGTGTGTCGGTGTACCGGGGCTGCGTGAGATGGTTTGCGACTGCGACATCGTCGACTCGTTTATCGGTGAAACAGATCGGTCCTTGCTACAAGGAAGTGATCACACATGTATCGTTATAAAGGCACGTCTCGTGGCCGGGGGATCGGTTTCCGTGCAGACAGCCGCGTATATATGTGTGTGTGTATGTAGCGTGTGAGTGTGCGTGTGTACGTGTGTGTAATTGTGTTTGTCAGGTGAGACTCGTGCAAAGTGGTGTACACGCCGTGAGAAAACATCGGAAACGTGGTACATACAAGAGAACTAGAGAAAGATCGAGGGGATCGGTGAAGAAATATTGACACAGGAAACACAGAAACAGAAAGATCGAGAAACAGACAGAGAGGAGAGAGAAAACGAAAGAGAAGAGAGGTGATAAAGAGAGTGAATCGTGAATGGAAAGTTCCTTTCCTAATTACGGTGAACGTTTTACACAAAAAAAAAGTATGTACACAATCGTCGAAGATAAATATGATTGACTTTTTTACTTTTGTCCTTTCGATCACAGATGTTAATCGGTATTATTGAGTCATTGTTGCGTCGTTAGAAGCTTTAATATCGAACAACGACGTCTCGTTTTTGTATTCGGTACGTATGTTAAAATCAGTGCTTCCTATTCTCTTTACGCTGATGATGCAGACTCGTGGGCATGACAGTATGCTTTCGAGATGGTACACGATGCAAAAAGCTCGAGCTTCTGTTAGTTCGACAGGTGCAATACACACACGACGAATGTGACGTGGTTTCTCTTTCATTCTTTGCTTTTATCTTAATATTTGCTGCAAACTGTTGCAACTGCATCGACCGTTTTTCTAATCGAATATTTACATCGTCTCCACGAATTACGTGATTCTAATTAAACCATAGTACACTGCCGATAGTAATATAATATATTCCAACATATTTGTATTTCATACTTTTCAATCTTTCGCTCCGATTAGCAAAATATTAAACGATAAAACATAAATAAAATTCCGAACGGAGCGCAGTGGAAAGAAAAATTGGAAACATTGAGAGAGAAATGTTTAAATTCGTGCATTAATAAAGGCATTTGTATGCGAAGATCACCGTTCGCGATACGAGATATCAATTCCCGTGTAATACGGCGTAATTGGTTGTTCGGCGCGATGCGGTTGCAATTCGAGTGTACCAACACACACGGTTAGTGGCACAACATTAAACATTCACGGCGCATCGACGGCCGGGGATCGACGCGAATTTCTGTCGCGTCGATCGGTCATACCGTCGCCCGGAAACGGGCATTTGGAAGTTCCAGCGCTCTCGGTGATATATTACCTATAGTCGAACGACGCCGATTGGTTAGTGAGCGGCCATCGTTTGTTATGCGTTTGTTTAAGTGGCCCGCTTGCCGGGAAACTCAAGCGTCTAGAATCACGAATATCAATCTGCGTCATAATCGTTGCATCTCTGCCAATCCTCGTTAAATAATAGATATTCAAATAGCGTCCGCGACTGTGGAACATCCTCGATTAATATTCTATTCTCGAATCAACTTTTACACTCTGTTTATACTGTCATCGATCCCTCACAATTCAATGACCAATTAATTTCTTAATTAATCCAAATTCAACATCGAAGTCCCAGATTCTTCCCATTGAACAAAATCCCAAAAATCTAACTTCCGTATATTTCTCTCGCATATCCCCGCATTCTACATTGAATTTATTCTACTCGCAATAAATGACTATAACAAAATCCCAACTTCACTTGCTACTGTAGTTCAATAGCAAGTTCAATGACCAATAAATTCCTCCAAATTCAATATCGAAGTCCTAGATTCTTTCCATCGAACAAAATCTCAAAAATCTAACTTCTGTATATTTCTCTCGCATATCCCCGCATTCTACATCAAATTTATTCTACTCGCAATAAATCACTATAACAAAATCCCAACTTCACTTGCTACTGTAGTTCAATAAACGGTTCAATGATCAATAAATTCCTCCAAATTCAATATCGAAGTCCTAGATTCTTCCCATCGAACAAAATCCCAAAAATCTAACTTCCGTATATTTCTCTCGCATATCCCCGCATTCTACATGAAATTTATTCTACTCGCAATAACAAAATACTATAACAAAATCAAAACTTCGCTTGCTACTTCTGTAAATCGGTTCAATGATCAATCGTGTCTCCGTCAAAATGTAAATTACATTGTCAAATCAAGTATCTTGAAAATTCGAATATTACTGACGTTTAATCCGAGGGCGGGGGTGGAAGGAATGTTGAACAAAACACGCGAATAATGTTAGACGAAGCGGAAGCCGATTCCTTACCTCTGTGTTGTCGGACTCTTGGGTGGAAGCCCCGATTCCTTCGAGACGTCTCTTCGTTCCTCGATGTAGATCGTTCGTTCGCTCGAGTAGCCCCCGACGTTGTTGTTATTATTGCCGCCGACCTCGACGTTGTTCAGGTTATTGTTGTTGTTCAGGTTGTAGCTGGTGTTCGAGGTGACGTACGAGCGATCGGAGGCGAACGTCACCGTCGGCGACGAGTTGTTGACGTACGGTGTCCGCGGATGCACCGGAAAAGCCGGTGTTTGCGGCCTCGAGGCGCTGCCGACCACCACGCTTCCGGGACTGACGCTCCTCTCGGTCCACGATGAAGCCGAGTCATTGTGCGACTGTGGATTTTCATCGATCTTTCATTTCCTATTGATTTCTAGTCGATACGTTGGATTACGAAAACATTTGCACACTTCTAATCACTTCGTGCGATCAGGCGAAGCAGTGCCAAGCAATCTTTGAACGTCTATTGAAACGTGTAAACTGGGACTTGAAAAAACGTGCGCACGGGTAGTGATTGGGTCTGTTTCATTCTATATTATAGAATCTTTGTAATACCAAATTTCGAGTATCTCATTTCCTGGACAATTGGAAGTACCGTAAAATCAATGTTAATAAAGGAGCTCTTTAACCCCTTGCACTCGGAAGTTTTCCATTGGAAATATTATAACATCTTCTGATGTGATAGAGAGGATATTCTGTGAAACTAACTCGACGAGAAATCACACTTGCATCGAAGGACAAAGCTATTTTGTTTGAATATTTCTCAAATTGATGCATTGTACGAAGTTCAGTATCAAGTATCAAATTTTATAGCTTTACTGTATCAAATCAATTGGTGAGCGAGAGGCATCTCTCGAGTGCAAAGGGTTAAGTGCCACAGATCCTGATTTTCTTATTCGTACATCTACAGGCTAATTCACACTTCCAATCTTGCAATTTCCAGTAACAAAGCAATGAATTTATCAATGAGACTACACCTGAAACTCCCAAGAATAGTACATCAATCGGTTGACTTCAACTAGGACACATCTTCACCGAATCCTCGAAAGAACCACGACATGTCCATCAATCTACTTCGAATGCACAAAATCCTCGAACTTCGACGACCGAAGGTCCAACTGTCAGTCCGCGATTTCCTCCGAAATCAACCAATTACTGTCTATCCCCAGAGACTTCCAGGGCGAGACGCTTATCGAGACGCCAGCGCATCCCCTAACTATTGGACACGTCCCGTGCGCACGGACACTACTGCAACGCTATCCGAGCGAGACCACAAGTGAGGAACATCGTGGGAGAGTGTGTTGGTAGCAGGGACAAACCTGGGTGCAACTCTGCCATGCTTTGGGCGACTGGTTAGGGGAGCAATTAGTGCTGATGTTGTTAGGAACGTTGCTGCTCGCAGGTGTCGTGGCCGTTGCGCCGATGGCCGCGGTATGATGATCGTTCTCTATCTTGTTAGTCACGGATGGGGGCGATCGAACGGGCGAAATGTCTGCCAGTGATTGAATGAGGCTCACGAGAGGGTCAGCGGTCGATTGGCCGGTCGATTTCTGGTCGACCACTGCCAGCAGACCGGTGTCCACTTGATCGGTGGTCCTGTCGTTGCTGCTCGTTCTGCTGAAGCTCTGATAAGCGACTACCCGGTTTCGCGATTCCGGCCGCGCGTTTCGATCAGAGAACTCCTGAGCGATCTCCTTTTGCTCCGTGTGATTGGTTATCGTGCTGTTGCCGGTCCCCAACTGTTGCTGCTGCTGCTGTTGTCGGTGCTCGCGCAGCAAAGCGTCCGCCCGGGCGAAGCTGTCGCTCCGCGACTCAGGCCGCGGCGGCTGCGGCTTCTCCGTGTTAATAAACGACGTTTGTTGCTGCATTGTTAACCCTAAGGGTTGCGTGGCTGCTAAGCCTGAGCGGGGGGATGTCGGAGGGCTCTGAAAAGCAAGCCAAGCGCTTCATGCTAGAGGGAGCGTATCTAACTGCGTGGGCTACCTTCCCGTGCTGCCAGCGTGTGTCTTTGCGTGAATCCGTGGAATTACGATTATTCATTAGTAACTAGATTCCTTTGCTTCGCAATTATTTACAATCTATATCACGAATTCTCCCTTGGAATCCCTTTCGACCAGCTCGTTCATAGACTTTCGGCTCGAATTATTAGGGGATTGAATCGAACGATATCAGAAAGAGAGAAATGGTTCTGTTGATAAGATTTCCAAAACAATTATACTACATTAACTCCCCTGAAACGTGAGCTAATGATTGACCTCTAAAACGAAACGTCAACATCACTTTCACCGCGACTTGGCTCGTCAGCGGAGACCAAACATTATCAATCATAACGCTTTCACGCGCGATAAACGTAGAAATCCTCTCACAGGACAGCCGTTACGGCCGTCAACGTATCTCGAGGGCTCCGTTTCGCGAAGCGGACTATAATTTATCGGAATGTTCGCCGGGTGCTCGCTCGGGAGGAGCATAAATTATTCCGGAAACGTTTCCCTCTTTCGTAATAGCGATTTAGAGACACAGCGCGCGTCGTCCGGTCGAAAAGGCAGGCAGTTGGGAGAGGGTTAAGCTGTACGCCGGCAATAACTACGCGATCGTTCTGCGGGTCTAAAGACTAAAGTGTGGGGTGGCTGGTCGGGCGGCGGGGAGCGATTTCTTGCTGTTTAGGATCTAACTGTGGGGGCATAACCATAAAACACGACGGCGCAGAAGTAAGTTGCTTTTACAGTCGCTGCCTACGAGGGACTAAATTGTAGCGTTCGTGCTGCCGCCGTCTCATCGGCGCATGCCGGAATCGATCGTGCCGCCGTTTCGAATTTATTATCCTTATTATCGACAATTATTTTAAGTAGCTCTCGGTGCTCCGGGGCTCGGCCCGCTTTTTCCGCGGTGGTTCCCGACGACTTAATAAATATTTATCGTGCACGGCCGCCGCCTCTCTGTGATTTCGTTGCTTTCGAGCAACGAGGGAACGCTTCTCGGTCTGCCGGGGAACGGAACGGGAGAAAATCGCCGATCGATTCCGGGTGAAACTAATAGCGAAAGACTATCCCTCAACGCTCGGACCACTTACCTGACTGTCGCCGTACTTGCGGTATTCGTAAGCTCGCTTCACCGACATGAAGGGCCGCTCGTTCACGCTCTCGGCGCGCGGTCTTCCCAGAGTACCGGTTCCGGCGGTACCGTTGTACTTCCGGCTGCTCGATCGCTGCGGAAGCAGAGGACTCGCTGGGGCGGAGGTGTACGGAACTGGCCTTGCTTGCGTCTGTGTTTAACAATTCATCGGGTCGTTAATGGTTTAGGCGTTGAGATACTTTGTTAACCCAATCTGCATCATTTCAGTGTAGTACTTAACGGGTTTCTCGTTTATGTCAGTACGAGTATTTATTAAACAAATGTGTAGCAATATTTTCAATCGATTTAAATGTGATATTCTTTCAAGATGTTTTCAATGGAAAACATTTTCTTTAAATTGCACAAGAATTTCTTGACGAATGAAATGGGTTAATTCGATCTGCATGTTTCCTTAGAAATCAGTGTTCTAGTTAATTATACGTTCACTCTGATTATAAAGTACACGATACAGAATGAGAGCTGTTTGACACACCATTAGTAGACTGGATATTTTAAGATACTTCCGAGTGAAGATGGATAACAATAGTTGTTTAATTATTTTAGCTGCTAAGTTCGAGTGTCCCACCTGTCCAGACACAGAATGCGGTGCCCAGGTTTCGTCATCGTCATCGAGGACCGCCGAATCACTCGCGTACCCGTCGTGCCTCAGCCTGCCTCTCTGCAAACTCCTCAACTCGCCGATCACGCGGTTTCCTGTCTCCTGTCGCCAGAGTTTTCCCGGATTTCTTTCGTCCCTTCTCGCGGCGAGTTTCAGTTGCTGCTGCCTCAGCCACGATAATCTGCCGACACCAGAAACCAATGTGAAACTTTTCCAATTCGCATCAGAACTTTCGCGATCCCCCGGCTACATTTCCCATGAAAGCGACAAACTCTAACAATGCCGCGGTACAAGTAACGCGGCCGTTGCCTCGAACGTCGGATTTATTCGTTCGTTTTATTAAACGAGAACGTCGCATTACCTCACCGAACTTCAGGTTTTTCCATAATCTCACCTCAACACCCCACATTCCCCTCTCTAACAAAGCTGACACATTCGAAACTGCAAACGTCTAAACCTTCGAAGTCCTAAACTTGAAATCCTAAAATTCTAAATGTCTAAACCTCCAAAATCCTAAAACTGAAAACCTAAATTCTAAATGTCCAAACACTCCAAAGTCCTAAACCTGAAATCCTAAAATTCTAAATGTCCAAACCTCCTAAAGTCACAATATTCCAAACGTTTACAGT